ATTTTTTTACCTTCTACTGTTAACCTATTGTTTGGCTGAAAACGTTTTAATTCTGTAAGAAATTTCATTGTATTCTCTTGAATATTTAATGTTCCTGGATTAAGAATTTGAAATGGAATTAAACAATTAAATAGTTGGCAAAGACGTCGAAGATCTTTAAATGGTTGTAAAATTTTCAAAGCAGAATCAATAATTATTCTCATTTCAATCAAAGTCATTTTAGGATCGTCACGAATTCTTAATAAATCAATTAATAGTTGATTCGAACGATTTACATTATGAATCTTTAACCAATCGATAATATGTTGAAAAATATCAATGAATCGATCAAACCAATCAAGCCATTTATTTATTTGTTGAATAAATTGAGCAAAAAACTCTTCATTGGATCTGATGTTAATGGTATCAATATCTTTAGGTTTGGGTAAAGCAACAATATCATCTATATTTGCATTTGTCGACGGAAATTTATATTGTTGACGATCAGCTGTACGAAATATGCTATTCATATTGATCAACGGAACAAAACAACGAATGATCGAATCAGTCAACAAGTCACGATATAATGAGCATTTACCTAAAAATAAAAAACTAACCTAATATCAATCCGTCTGATTCAAACGGGGCAAAAACCAGCGATACTGGCGAAAACCCAACGATAGAGCCCGTCGAATCCGGTTCCGGGTCTGACTCGATAGTTTCTACTCTAAAAGTAATAGTCAATTATGTCCACATTCTTATACCATCACCGTCAAAATGCACTGAGGAACGAGTAGGGCGTGATAGTTGCTCAATATAAATAAGCAAAAAAAGTATCTTGTATCTTCAGAGGGATATTATGATCGAATGGGATTTAATCGGCAGTACTACAACATACTCTCCGGCATTTTGGCATCGATTCGTTGGTGATCATTAATTCATAGGAGTCAATGCTCGTTTTCCCTGTGATATGACTCTGAGCAATATGATTTGTGTTTTTTGCTACTCAGTGTCAAAATTAACTAAGAATATGTTGGATAATAGAAAAAAAACTACGAGAATCAATAGAGCAGAAAATTTCACTGATAGAAAACGTGGAGGAATCTCATAGATATGAAATAAAGGATAATCTCTCGTTAATTATGATCGATAAGACAGCAGAAAATATACGTAAAGGACAAACTATGAAAAAAATAATTGATTAGGAAGATTTTCATATTGAAATGAACTTACTGTTTAATCGGAGAATTTCATGAATAATTTCTTTGCCATTGCTGATAAAATTGTTAATTTCATTAACATCTATTTTTACAGATGTATGTTCACGCATAGATATAATGAAATTCATAATTGTGTCAATATTTGGCAACATTAAGATTGTTCTGGAATATTTCGCAAGCACTAATTCACATAATTTATTAACTAAAATAGTTGTGAAAATATCTGTTGGATTATAAATATCATGTTTAACATTTTTCATCCATTCATTAATTTTGGAAAGAATTTCAATATGATTATTGTTTAACATTTTTGAAAGACTTAAATGTATGATTTTTGACCAAATGTAGATTGCCCAAGGATTATTCTGATGATTTTCACATAAATATTTGTAAGTTTCTTTATCTAATTTTAACCAAATTGATATATTAGTAATAAGAAAATCTTTTAGCCATTCATCATCAATAATGTTCTCTGCGGTATATTTTTCACATAAATTCGCATCAAAATTGTTCAAGTTTTGAAATAGAGCTTTGAGTTTTTGTGCGTTGGGCTTCTGATAACTGTCAATATCAAAGAGAATTTTACGAATAAGAAGTAAATAGGAAGGCCTTTCTAAACAATTCGTTGAGGATATTTCCAGATCGATTTGTAAAAGATCTTTAGAATCGGTTTGAGAAATTTGATACGAATATTGAGGATCAGTTATCTGCTTGATAACATAAGCATCAAAGATTTTCCCAAATAAATCAATCAAATGTAAACGTTCAGGTTTGATTTCTACTAAACAAGTCTTGGCTGATTTTGCATATCGTTGAAATTTTCCAATTGTAACTATTGAAATTCTTTGGTTCAATACCGGAATCAGATATTTTTGAATATTTACACTATTGAGAGCATTAATTTTATATAAATGTAAAAACATATCCCAAAGGTCATCTGTGTCCACATTTGATGAATAGTGAGAAACATATTGACCACATAGTTGATCGTTTCGACTGACCCATGTAAATAATTCAGCAATATCTTTCATTTCATACCATCGATTTTTAATGCCACAGCTGAATATTGTGTGAAATTGTTCAAAAAATAGTGTCGGGTCGAGCTTCAACGCTTGATTAAATTGAAAAAAGGTTTTAAATGGCGATTCTTTTGCTTGCTTTGAAGGATGCAGTCGATGAATAAGATGAATAAGCACTGGGGTATCAAATGGAAATTGTGTAAATGCTTCTTGATTATCTAGATACGCTCGAATAAATTGTTCTAAAGACAAAGTGGTTATTTTTACTTTGGATAATATGTCGATCCATTGAAGACGATAACGACTATCATTCATGAATTGTGTAGCTTGCATTGATAGTTTACTTAGAACAAAAAACTTTTTTAATGTGTTTAAGTCATCAATGGTAGCGATCGATGATAGATGTCGAGGAATATCCATTCTCAATAGTACATCTTTCTCGTATACAAGAAGATTCGGCTGTTGACCTTTTGTTTGTTCAAATGCAGAGACCAATAATTGAAACAAAACTTGTTTGAGTTCTCCTAGTGGTTTGTAGTATGCATTTGCCAGATAAATGTACTCTTGAATTCGACAGTAAATATAGAGATAGGCATCTATTCGCTTTCGTGAACGAATAGAATGTTTCTTCGATGTCAAATCAGTGATTGTACATTGCGTAATATAATCCACATCATGAAGAAATGTTTTGTTTTGTCTCTGGTTGAATTCATCGAAGGTATGGAAATGTGCCAGAACTGAGTCGAAAAATACTATTCCAACAGCATCCGAATTTAATACGCCCTCAAAAAGACTGGCAGGTTCAGATATGGTTACTTTACCCTTAAACCAGCTCGAAACGTAACTTAACATATTTGGAAACGTTAAGATTAAGATTCACTGAATCGGTAACTCTACAAAGGAATAAAATCAAAAGAAACTTGTTGTCAGCAAGAAATATCTCTGTCCATTAGACTTTTTCGAAACATTAGATGGATCAATCTTATCGTGTATTATCTCAATGGATAGAAGTGTATGAAGATTCGTTGCATATGTGATATTGCTATATCGTTTTCTCTGTGTATGAGATAATCAAAACAAAGTGTATCTATTGACATAAGAATCAGGATGTGGGTGTGTGGTGTGTGGCTGTAAGTGTATGGCTGTCGGTAGGTGTAGGTGAAGATCATTGGAATCACGCACACACATCCACATCCATATCCTCACACACACCCTCACCGACACACACCCTCACCCACCCACACCCTCAATATGATAAATTAAGAAGACCTTTGAACCGTTGAGTTAATATCCTATAGTGACAATGACCAATGGCAACAGCTTTAAATGAGTTCGTAGTACGAACTTGCAGCACTCTTTGCTAGTCACACGTCTCCTAACTTGACAAGATGAAAATCCCTTCCATTAAAGCGAACAAAAATCTATGTTTCTTCTTGATAACTTTTTAGCCAACATCGTTGTAAAGACAGAGATAAAGCGAACGTACTATTACGTTATCAGATATCAAGAAAAAGTATTTTACTGATGCAAAATGTGTTTACATATATGATTAATTTTAACAGCAGCGAAAATTTGTGAGCGACAACATCAGATACATATAGGTACTACCAAAATGACAAAATTTTCTTTTGCAGAAAAACTACAAAAGTAAATTGTGAATAGACTAACTTTATGTTAGATAGTACTGATATTGCGTAATTACATTTTAGGACTATTCAATAATGGCAATGTGACGCGATTGTGGATGTGAGTGTGAGATGTGTTTATCGTAGTAGATAGACTCTTAACTACCATGACGATCGTTTCGTCCTTACTAAAAGGCGTCAATCGTCACAGTATCTAGGAGCTTATCCACTATGATAAACACCCACCCGCATCCACCCACCCACACCCATATACATCAATATGGCAAAGATATGATATATTTACGGTCATGCACAATGCAAATACGACGCTATGTGGCATTATTATTTTACCGGTAAACATGTTGGATACGGTAAGTTGTAAATGATGGACAATATTCACGATGAAACACAAGATGAAAACTTTTCATAATTGGCCGTTTCCAGCTGTAAAGACATCGTAACTACTTAGTTATCTAGACAAAGCAAGAATATTCTAACGTCAGAGACAATATAAATGTGGTCTTTTATCTTAAAAGCAAGCTGGGAAAAAGTCTTGTTTGCCTTTGTACTCACGTTCCTTTGCCACTAGCATTGCATAATACACAGGATGAAATTCTCACCTGTGTGATAATTATAAACATAAAGATAAGAAATCACAACATAAGACATCGACGAAAGAGAATCAATGTGCTAGTATGAGTAAGAAAGCTCATTTTTCTTTTCAGTCATGCCATGCAATGATTCTAATCTCATTCCTAAGCCTTCCTGGATTTTCCTGTTGGGATCTTACAAGATCCTAAATTTCTAGGATCTTGGCCAGATTTACGCAAGATCCTAGAGATTTCTTATACCATCTTAATATTAGGAACTGTACAAGAAATGGCCTGACTGTACAAGATTTGGTCAAGATCCTGGACGTTTTCTGAAAATTTCCTCACACCAGGAATTTATCAAGAAACATTGAAGATTTTGTAAAGGATCGTATCAAGATTTGGTTCATCACTTGTTACACAAGAGTTCTTGCAAGATCTTATAGGACCTTGCTAAGAAAAATAGTACAAGATTTTCTAGGATCCTGTCGGAGCTTGAGACAAGATCTTCGTAGGGTCCTGCCATAGTCCTAGTTAAAATTGAAAATATTTGGTCACATCTGCCTATCAAGTTTCTTGTAGGATCCTATTACCACTGCTAGCGCAACCTTGTTCTGATCTTGATAGCAAGAAATCAGGATCTTAACAATAAAACTTCAAGATTCTCAATAGGACTGTGAAAAGAAAGGGGTTGTTTAACGAATATTTTTGAAAACGACTTAAAAATGGTGCTGAAATATCTTTAAATTCGCATCGTTTTATATGAACAATACATTGAAAGTCCTCATGTACAACTACATCAATTGTTTTCGGACCAATTGCTACTTTAGAAAAGATTTTTCTACTTTCTTCATTAGCCATAATTGAAAAATTCTGATTGAAAACATCATATAGTGAACCATGAATACGACCTGTATTTATCATCAAGATAGTTTTGCCTGTTTCCATACATAATTTAATATTTGATAAGATTTCAACATTTCGTAATTCATTATCGATATCATCCGGAAAATCGGGCATACGAAAAACTGTAGTTTGACTTGGATTCATTCGATTTTGTTCATATTGTTGTTCACGTTTGATAGCACGTTCAAAAATAAAAGCAATATTTTCTGAACGACTATATTTCGACCCAAGACAAAAAAATGGATCGATAGCAGGAAGACGTTTACAAAATGATTTTGCTGATAACTGTGCACCTTGAAGATTTTGAAGAACAATTTGAAAAGATAATGTTTTAGATTGACCTTTTAAAAAGAAAAATATACAGATTTATTCAGGTTAAATTAGAATAAATTCTTTACCGGGAACACCAATGATACATAAAGCTGTTCGTGTAACAATACTGACTACAATGGAAAAGATATGTGCTAATCGGATTGATGAAATAAAACGGTTCATAGTAACACAAAGCATATACACATATAGTACTAATAGCAGTTCTTGTTGCTTGACAGAAATGATATTAAACCGTGCCCTTTTACGTTACGGTAAAAATGGAATGACGAATAACGATCGAAGAAGGGTGAAAAATGGACGTCAATCTTTGCTTTTTACTAAGGGAATTAGGCCACTTCTGATAGCCGAAATGAGCATTTTGAGAATGGTGAATCACTTGACCTAGTATTTAGTAATAAATTCTCATTGAAGGACACGAGTGAAATTAATTTTGATTTGTTTTAATGGATTTTAATTCTAACAAATGTTCTCCAAAGAATAAACGATTTTGAAATTTCATTTTGAGAGTATCAAGTTCATCTCATCGGAAAACACTATCATTTGAAATACATACAGTATTCTATTTAATCAATTTTGAATACGTCGAATAAAAACATTTTTGGTATTTTCTATTTTATTTTTACATTTCATTGATTAAAAACTCAAAGTAAAGGTCTAGACTTAGAGTCTTGAGGGTTCATTCTGGATTCGAATTGCACAAGCTTGAATTAGGAACGTTGGGATTCGAAAGTTTCTACTGATAAAACATGATTAACTTCTGTATGAATAGGCTCGAAAGCGCCTTGAAGACACTTTCTAAAACAACCGTCGGATTTTCTGCAGGATATTTGTCGGTTACTTTTCTAAAATTGATCGTTAATTCTACTCATAAATAAATGCGTTTACCGATGTAAAATATGCATGTGTAAAAGGTATCTTAAATAAAGAAAAAACAGGACAAGATGATAATTAAATAAATGTTAACCAATATTCTCAATCTACGATATATAAACGCACAAACTCGTATAGAATATTTGTTCCACTTATTTTTTTAATGATAGAAAAACTGATGTAATTGCTTTTTTTTCTGTTCCATCTATTAATAATAATAAGCAAAAGAAAAACATGACCGGCGAGTTTGTTTTTTTTTCTTTCGTTTTTCGTGTTATCGGATGCAATAAAAGAAAAAGAGACTCATGTCGTTGGTTTGTTTATTTGATGAATAAAATGAAAGATGGCTCTACCTTTTTATGAATATCCGATAGAAATTTTGAAAACTATTTACACAAAAAACAAAAAATAAATAGAAGAAAGTGAAAATTTGAAAAAAAAGAAAAAAAGTGTTGTGCAATACAAAGAAATCACAATAACCTAAAGCATTGAAATAATAGAACTAATCTTGAGAAGAATTTGTTGATTTAACTCGATGTTGATCATTTATTAAAGATATTGTTGGATTACTTCTATTTAACAATTAAATAAAAAAAAGAATTTTATTTTAAAAATAAATTAAATTAACTTTATTTGTTGAAATCGATTTGAAGATGATCGAATTTCTTTAACAACCGTTGGATAAATTGGTGGAAGATAGGAAAAACGATTTAATGCTGAATAGATTTCATTCCGTTGTAATGTTCGTTGAAATACTTTTGCCTTTTAAAATATTTTCGTTTATTTTTAAATTAAAAAACAAAACAAACTTGTTCAGCTAATTGGTCATTTTTTGCTTTACTTTCTTCAAGCATTTGTCGACTTTTTTCAAGAATATCTTCTTCTTTACTTGTTTGAGAAACATTTTCACAATCATTTAGAAGTGTTGCATTTGTCTGTTGTTGTTATTGTTGTTGGGACTCAATAGATGATGAACGACCATGAAATGCGTTTAAAACCTTCAAATAACAATCACATTTTATTCGAAATAAACTATTATTAATTGATTTTTTTACCTGAATATTGTCGACGATGTTGTTTTGTTAATAATTCGTTTAATTGTTCAACAAAATCTCGTTTGTCTTCTGGAAAAAACAAATAAAGATCAAAAAGAGAAAATATTCCAATATTCATATTGACCTTGTTCGCCTGGACAATTAGCGGAATTTGGTCGTTCGTGAGTTAATGATTTAGTACCAGGCACAGACGATCCTGTTGCTGTCAATTCTAAAATTATTCTCTTTAATATATATCAACTTTTTACAAAAAAAGAAAAAAGATTTCTCTCATATTCATTTATCAGACTTTTTTTCTAGTGCAGAAATCTTTGAAATTAGTATGACCTTCTCCTTTTAAAATATCTAATGTAACACAATCTTTCGATATATAATCAAATTTCCAAATGATTTTAAATGAAGTACGGATTTGCATAATATGAGCATTTTCTTTCACTGTTCTACTTTGAAAAGAGAATTATTTTTCATCAAGATTTATTTTCAAGAGTTCAATAAAATATTGTTAATTTTGAAAATAAATTGGTCACAGAAATAATTTCGTTGATGAAGAAATATTAAGAGAATAAATTTCTTTCAACAGAAATGAAAATAACAATTTCTAATCGATGATAAACAATTAATTAAATCAGTAGAACGATTATTTTGACCATCAACGATCCTTTTCATAAATAAATATTCTCATTAAGTTAGAAAATATCAAATTGGATTTGGAAAAATTTCGGCAACTGAAAACTGTAATACAGTATAGCCTCTCTATAGTGGACATCCAAGGGACTTTTTAAAGTGTGCACTTTTGGAGATTTGAGATTTTTTGTTATGAAATCATTGTTACGGTTACCAAAGTGTATCTCACCTCATTTCTCGAGCTTATATTCTATGGAACCGAGGTCAACTTCTCCCTTCAGTTACTGAAAACTCGTTCAATTTCGGTGATTCTATTTTGAAATAGCTAATGAGAAAATTTCTTTTGCGCATATCCCAGTCACGATAGACGGAAATCGTCTGTGGCTCGAGTTTGCCGAGTCGCTCTAAAAAGCCGTTTTTAACAAAGTAAAAGTTGAAGCTACGACAAAGGATAATTATAGGGTAATCGATTATGTTGTATCGTAATGAATCATTACAAGAGTTTATAAAACTAGGTAAAGAAGATATACCAACTGATTTAGCAGATATATTATTTAACAAATATACAAAAACTCATTATGTTTGTTATAATGAAATACTTATTGGAACTGTCATATTGTTACTTTTTCACATATCATATCTCTTTTTGAAAAACTACATTCTGTCGTTGTATAAAATAAAAAATTTGATTCAGTTCACGTTTTGATTTAGATGTAAAATATAAATGGACAAGAGAACTGTTGTTAAGTATTTTAATAACAGTGCAAACGAATACGTTGCAAAGAAAATGTTCGTAGTATAAGTACTTAGTGCAAACCAGGATAATATTCTTGTGTAGCTATTTCCGCAGCAATTGATTGTTGACGTTGTTTTTCGTTTTGCATTATAGCAGCATCAACTTTTTCAATTCTTTTATCATCTTTTCCTAATGTATCATATAACAAAGATGGGTTAATTTCTATACCAGTTGTTTCTTAAAATTCTAGTACTCCACATTGACTACTGTTAAAAATAATAACAGCAGTAGCAGCAGCACCACGTATAGAAGTATAACTATGATATTTATTTTTAGCAATAATCGACCAGACCTATAAAGAATAGAATTTCAGCGTACACATATCATCCAATTTCGAAACCGAAACGAAACCTTGAAGAAGAATTAACAATAACACTTACAATAGAGTTTATTGATTCATTACTATTTTGAGTCAATCCTTTGACACAGCGAGGTAATAATTCTGGATTTGTAAGATCGTTTATCATTTTATCTAAAATTTGACTAAATATGGGATCAAGACATAATTTTTGTTTTTTTTCATCAATTGAGTTGTATTCTGGATCAAGTAAACTACGTTTATATGCATACCAACTATTGAGTCCATCAGGACAATGTTCATGCTGTTTATCTCGATCTGGTGATTTTATATGATGAAAAAATCATGCCAAATATTTTTTCTCATATATTCCATTATTTCATCTTCACTTTTATCTGTTAGAAAAGAAAAATTATAGAAATGTTTCAAAAAAACTCTATATGAGCATTTACCCATTGTTTCTGCTATGGCTTGTTGTATAGCAAGACCATATGAATACAATATATAATCTATTACTTTTTCGGTTGATCGTCCTGGTTTACCTCCAACTGGCAGACCATCAGGCAATCTATAAAAAACACAAATATCTATCCAAACATCTATTGAAATATATTTGAAATCGATTACCCTATAATTATCCTTTGTCGTAGCTTCAACTTTTATTTTGTTAAAAACGGTTTTTTAGAGCGACTCGGCAAATTGTGGCAAACTCGAGCCACAGACGATTTCCGTCTATCGTGACTGGGATATGCGCAACTTACTTTGTTAAAAACGGTTTTTCAGAGGCATCCTGAAGATCTCGTACAGATCTCCAACATATAAAAGCAGCCCATGTGGTTATGTGCTCTACTTGTGTCAGATACCATTTTAAAGCTTCACCAGTTAGAAATTGTATTGACTATTTAATTTGTTGGGATTCATTGAGATTTAATGCAAAAAATTTTACATGTAACAGTCTTAACCAGTCATCAATATTTTCGTTCTTCTGGCCAGAAAATTTTGGAAAATCTTTAATGATGGCATCCCTAGTCGACTTTCTTGCGAGGGCTTTCTTGCCCAAGATCTTGCGCAAGAAATGTCACAAGATCTTGCTTTCTTGGTGCAAGAAGTCTCTTTGATTTATGGTGACTATTCT